ACGGTGATTGTACAGATTTTCGGTCGTAGAATAGAGAGTTGACAAAAATTCCGTTGGTTTATTTTTGTTTGGAGATCTGTAACAGGCGAGAAGAGAAAACCAGGTATTTCCCCTACCCTTTACATCGATGCAAACAGCTTCGATATCCACAGGCTCTAGCTTCCTGCGTCTGTAAGCAGAGACGCTATGTTTGATGTAAACCATTATGCCACCGCCGCCCTTTTTCCTGTCGCGTCTAATTATCCTGTACAAAGGATGTTGAAAAAGCGAGTTGTTGTAGCTGGAGTCAATCTTTATTTCAGTTAGAACTAAGATGTCAAATAGCTCCTGATTCAGTAGAACCCTTATTTCGTCCATTTTGTTTTGAAGATTGTTGATATTTTGATGAGCTATTGACAGGTTAAACTTGTAGTAAGCCGCGATACTGGCCTTGTAGTCAGCAATGACATTGGGTTCAGAGGTGTCAGAGTTCGTAGAGTTCGAATTGTTAAACGAGTCCTCGGTTGAATCAGAAAAGAATGAGTCTGAAAGCCATTTAAAAGTACAGGCATTGCGGTACCAGGTATCATCAGTACTTGATAACCGGTTGTATTCGTCCTGAGAAACACGAGTACATTTAGCATGGCACCACAAGTTGCAACCGTCGCATTGTAAGGCTCTCTGATTGTTCTTACATGGCCTCTCACAACAAGCACATGGATACTTTGTGGGGCCTGGATTAGGATTAATATCACCACACTTTAACAGCCTGAAACGTGGAATTCGCATTTTGATAATATCTGTGTCTAGATTTGGAAAATATATGCCTTCGTGGGTTCTGTATTCCCGCAATATGCTCAATATGGCGGCTACCCGAATCGATTTGGCCGGAATCCTCTCTCTTCAACAGGACAGGCGAAGCGTTGTAATGTTGAACTGGACAGTCCAAACCATCGCACCAAGTAGTATGATCGATTCGGTAGAAACATTTTAGAAGAAAGCAGTCAGTAAGAGTTAAAACGCAATAAAAAGTCAGGAGCCCCAAAACACGTGTCATTACGACCCGATCGTGAATTGACGAAAGAGCGAAATAGCGAAATTTGCTCTTACGGAAAGCGTACTCCGACATCCGTCAGAAGGAGGTCATCTCGGGTAGATTTCCGATTACGAAATCCGAGCTCGCCCGATGTTGTCTTCGTGATGAAGGCCCTAATTAGCATATTAGACCCGCAAAACAGAGTAGAAACGAACACGTGCTTCGTTTTCGCTCATGACTTCGTATTAGCCGTAAGATATTTGCTTTTTTTTTCGTTGCTTACCTTTATTACAGACTCCACAAAATTTCTGCGATGCCTCCTTTTCACGGATGTCCGATTACAACTACAACATAGTAACACCTCCACGAAATCTGTCAAAACTGAAAAAAAAACTGATTCTCAGAACTTCCCGTTAATTGTTTATTAAGATAATCGTCGAAGTGAAATATATCTATGTAGTAATTTTTATCTATGTAGAAGTCAGCTAAAAGAATTTTTAAAATGTATTCATGAGAAACTGTTTCTTGCAGATCTTTCCCTAGGTACACTCTTGCGTTTAGAATTGAAAATCCTCATCTAAATATTGTAAAAAGTATTATCATAGAATATTTTCAATGATGATCATGGCACAACGCAGATAGAGAAAATGTAATAGGTGAGACAAGTCACGGATTATCCTTGTCGACAAAAGTAATATCGCCTGCTACATTATATTCAAACTTAATCTCCGTCCAATCGAGGTAATGTACAATTTTTTAATCAATTACCAGATTAGAAAGAACAATATATCGCTTAAACTCTGAACGTAACTGCGTTAAATTTATTTCATCAGAAATCGAGAGGTTTCCGGTGTTTTAAAATCCTCCTTTTGACAGATTTCGTGAAGATGTCATTACATTATAGTTGTGATCGGCCATCCGTGAAAAGGAGGCGTCAAATGTATTTTGTGGAATGTCATATAGGTTAGCAACGCAAAAAAAAAATGCAAATATCTTAACGCTAATACAAAGTCGTGAGCGAAAACGAAGTAAGTGTTCCTTTTTACGCTATTTTGCGGCTCTAAAATGCGAAATAGGGCCTTCATGACAACATTGGGCGACCTCGGATTTCGTCATCAGAAATCTACCCGAGATGACCTCTGGTGTTTTAACATCCTCCTTTGGACAGATTTCGTGGATGTGTCACTATGTTGTAGTTGTAATCGGCCATCCGTGAAAAGGAGGCATCGCAAC